TGACGTCAAAAATACTGAAACAGTTAATAAATTAGGCATCACAAGGCTTTCAGGTAATGACGTGAATCATATCTATCCACTTCTATGTTGATTGAAAGAAGCATCTGGTTGTTTCGAGATTTGTGATTGTGACTTTGAATTAGAGCATCAGAAGGTTGCTGGGAGATAAACAAGACTCGATACACGGAAACTTATACCCACCAAGTCGGGGTGCCAATTTGCACTGCTCTTTATGGTAGGACATATAAATTTTACTAAAGCTCAGTTGACACCAATGAAAAAATCATAGGTATACACTTTTCATGTATTTGAAAAAAATGGAACATACAATAATAATAATGAAAACAATACAAAAATAGTAATAAAATAAACTTGCACAATTAGATATATTTTGGCTAAAAGATTGTTGTTATCATCCTTGGCCCGTCTTTACGTCCCATCCGACATATGAAAAGGGCTGCGGAGTTGGGGAAACTTACGCCCGACTTTGATTCCAAACTACGATTCATTCAAAAAACGGCTTCGGCTCCAACTCTGACTCCGACAAAAACTTTCAACGCCGACCCATTTCCAACTTCAGATGACAATAACTTTTGCTTAGACAAGCAATCTTTATTTGCCTATTGAGAATACTTAGTCAACCTAATGCTCGTTGAGTTTTAGGAAATGAAACCAATCCCGGAAAATGGAAATGCATATTCATGGAAATAAAAGTTTCAATTGAAACTTGAAGCACAGCTTATTAATATTGGGTGCTATTTAGTATTTATCCGTTGCCAAAAGTATATAATACTAAATGCACCATATACATGTAGGTTCAGAAATCCCTTTAATATTACAAAGTGTGTTATTATACTAACAAAAACCATCCTCAACGTAATGTTGAAATTGAAATGAAAATTTTGTTATTTGACATTGTTTGTATTTTATTAATTTACACAGTGCTCTTGTCTTCTAAAAAAAATTAGAATGCGTAATCATGAAAACATGAGACACCTGTTTTCCTCGCAAAACGATTGTTTAAAAATTAAATTGGGGTTTCTGAAACTGCATCACCAAAAATTCCTAAACATAAAAGCATTGCATGTTTGAAGAGAAAAATTTTCGATAAACATAAAATATATTGAAAGAAAAAACATTAATTAAAAATTGTATTCAAATAAATTTATCTTGTGAATTGTTAGATTTAAATTATCAACATTTCACAAAATATATAAAACTAAACAACTTTATATTACGGCATGTAATATGAAATATTTCGCCATTTATATGCAACAATTAATATTCGATAATCCTTCCAATGAACACACTCTGGCTGAAATAGCTCATCAACCACTATCATTGATATACTTTAATGGAAGTTTCACTTACAGTGGTGCAATGGTTTGTTTTGGTCATATTTTCCATTAACGTTGATTTATCCACAGCTGCGTGGAGACAAGCGACGCATGGCTAAAGCTTCATGAACGCGGTACCTTTCACGTCATTGACAATAACACCATTCCGTACGATTGCCTTTTGAATATACATCTATTCAGTGGCAATTAGTTCCTTGCATACCTTCAACACATCAGACTTCAGAGAAACTGCGTGCTGGCTCCCTCACTAACATATTTGACATCTTGTCTGATTGTGTTATGGGGAGGCAATCTTTAGTAAGTCGTCAAAGTTACAATTATTCGGATAGTGATGTTTCCTAGAAAATCTGTTGGCCTCAAAAAAGTCTTTAACAATAGACAGTAAATAATTGTAAGTTGGGAAGCACTCCACCCATCCACCTCCGAAGTTGTAGTTTCCCATTATAATATATTCTTTTACGGTATGATTGTGATCTTTTTGGGGTGGCCGGAACCCGCACTGAGCAGGGACGCGAAAAACACCATATAGCAAATCATCAAGTCCGTTAGCTTTACTGGTGATGCGAGAGATGTTCAATCCTGGTACCCGAAGAGGAGAGAGGAATGGCGACCAATCAGATGGTGTCTCTTTGATCACATGATTTGAAAGAAACTCGAGATTAGTCCAACGGTGGTTCTCTTCGTTTGATACCGAAACAACTTGTCCTCTTGCAACTGAAAATTAAGCAAGAAGCTGAAAAAAAACTCGAAAATGCCATATTCATCATTTTGCGTATGAATTTTATTTGAAATCGAGCTAAATACGGAAGAAATGTTTAAGACATCTATCTAACATAGACGTAGGTTGTATTTCGACTATTTCTGCTACACCACTGAGTTTGTAATTTGTTAGATATTGCATTATAATACATTCGCAAGCTTTATGGGGACAGCATTATGCGCTGTATTTTGCTACAATGAATAAATACAAAAGTTGTTAGATTTTCTACTCAATGCATTGCTTCCGATAATTATGAGACGGTCTTTGAAAATTAACAATCATTTGTACAAAGTGATACATACCAAAATCCGCAGAGCAATATAAATGAAGAAGTTCTTCGTTAGAGCATGGACGACAATCTGAACAAATAAAGGAGAAGTTTCATTTTACGCAAACGAAAATTCATAATTGGGTTGAAGAGAAGACCAAGGCCGCCCATACAAAACCTTAAAACAAGCATTATCAGCAAATACTGAGAACTGAGCAAAACACGTTTTATGAAGTAGTCTTGGAAAAATCCATACACCAAGTTTTATGGAAGGGTGATTTTCATCTTACCTTGTATTTTCCCACTAAATAGCATTCTTCTTTCGTTGACCGTCCCTTTTCTGTGTTTCTTATGATTTGGTCGATCGTTGTGGTAGCTTATGGGGTAGAGCTCATATCTAAAAGATGCAACCTTCCGACTTATATCTGATCTTGTTGTTGTCGCCATAAGTAACATCTTCAATTTTCCATAAGTTGAATTGACACACGCGATCTCACTACAAACGAATATACCAAGCTCAAAAAAGACAATACCATTTGTATACCTAATTTGTTTCGTTTTTTAGTCATTGAAGGTAATCAGCAGTAGTAAGCAGTCGGCACATAAACTAACTATAAAAATATAAAGTGACCCGTTCCGTGTTTGGTTCAACAGTGTTGTCAGGTCAATTCAACAACAATTATTCTTACACAACAAATTCTAGTTCACACACACACGAAATTGAAAATATTTGTATCAGTTTAGCATCGAGAGAAATAAAAAAATGATTCGTGTCATGTGGATTGAGAAGAAATAATTGGCACACAACAATCAAAGTTGTGTTCAAAATTGCGCAAATAAAAATGCTTTTCACGATATTTACCGAATATCATGTTCTGTGTTTTCCGGTACTTTATTCTTATCTTCTGGGTCGCCATATATAACGTGAAGGCCAGTTGGTTGGCCAAATATGCTGTCTCCTGGAGGGGGTCTCTGTCCTTGATGTATCAAACTTGCACCACTGAAGTCAACGTTCGGAAGAAAACAAGCAGTGAAATCAGTTGTGCTATGTGGATACTGGAACTGTATATGTAGAGCAGTAGTGGGATAGATCCATTCCAGATTCCCAGATTCGCAACTGTAAATAACAGAAGTAACTATGTAACTGATTTACATCTTCGTATGAGTTAAATTTAACTGGTAAATCAAAATGGAGATCCAAACCAGCTTGTTCTCTTGCGGCAGGTCGGAAAACCAGATTAGAACGCTTTACGCGTAGTATTCACATAATGACACGGCAAATACTCAGCACCAAGAAAGTATTTGTGCTTCAGTTTGTAACATTCATTTCACATATCCCCATCTAAGACGTAAGACAGCCGGTGTTCGCACGAGTCGCGTTACAAGTCTTGACATTTTATTTGACCCCTTTTAAGCAGCGAGTTCTCTTTTGCACGAGAAAAAGGATCGCACGATTAAAGAAATATTTCAACCATGCATGCAACTTGTAAATGACGCATAACTAGTTATACATGTGATATTTTAAAAGGCAAGTTACTTTATTTATTTAAGAAAGATGAGTAATTCGAAACACCACGCACAATGTCACGATTATTACCTCAAAAGTCAAATACAGCATTGCATATTTGTGGCGTGAGATCCAAGGTGCTTCTGTATATAAGTTATCTAGCGTTCTAGCATTCCAAGCAACCACACGATATAATACATCAGAAATGATACAAATACACGATCAACTTTAAATAAAAGCGCTTCATATCTTGACATAGGTTGTCATAAACCAAAATTTCGATTATGATCATAACACATGCCAGACACTACAGCAGAATTCTTGCTTTAACTCTGTTCGATGGCCCAGCGAAGTAAGGATTTTGTATTTAATAAACTGAAAAAAAATCCAAGTAAAAGGTAAGATGAAGTTTTCATATATTTGTATATGTTTGAAAAAGGGTTATATTATTATAAATAGAAGTTGTACTATATTTGTTGAAAATGGCAGCCGCGCAAAACCGCGATCCAGGAAACGTAAATAATGGTTTGTCGATGGGTTGTAATGAAATCAATGAAGCATAGATTATTTCTGCCACGAGGAAATTGGAACACAAATTAGGTACGTAGAAAGTTTTCGTGTTATATAAGATATCTAAAGGGTGATATCTGGGAATACAGAACAAAGACATATATCAAAATCATTTTATGTTAACAAAACTATAAGTATACATTCCTTTTACAAATGGAATGTTATTTCATGTAAACGACACCACAAACAATAAAAAATATTGTTCAATCAAGGCATTGAGCGAAATTTAAAACACCGCTCGCCAGCTGCTGATAGAGAACACTGATATCCGGTTACATAAATAAAGAAAATTTGCTGTTTGAGACGTTTCGTGGATATTGAGCAAGAGAGAGTATAGAGAACAACAAAATATATTGCTTCAAAAACTGGATTTCTGGTACTATCTTTATTAATTTTGTTTATCTTCCTTAGGTATTTTAACGACATTGTTATTTTATAGACTAATTGAAAAGATGAATTCTTGTTTGTATCCCGTTTTCAAATCGTCATTTTTTCATTACGTTCATCCATTTAAAGCTTTCCACATACTCCGGCAAAATCTATATTCTAAGGAGAATGAATTCGACTGTTCATGGTAAATAAATTTACTATCTTAAGCACGTGAAGACCGTCGTTAAAATAAAACCCTGGTGCGTAATCAAGTAGGATTTTGCTTACAAATGACGCTTTTGATCGGCTCAAAACCCACTTTGAATCAGCATTTCGGGAAAAGTCACAACAGCAAAATTTTTAAATTTCATGATATATAATCAAGTCTAAACTACACAAAAATTGAACCAATGGTGTTAATTTCGAGCTTGACCACCTATCGCGGGAGCATTTTCGTTTCATAATAATATACACCACAAAAGATCTATCACTCCAATACTGTCGAGGGTGCTTGAATGGCGTGAATACCCTTATGATATCCCATCAAATCACTAAACTGTGAACTGAAATGCTTCAGCTTCACAAATATCAGCAACTGAAATTTTCGTTTCAACTGTACTTTCTGATGCAAACAGACCAAAACATTAATACAGCTTAATCGTATTATATTTTACAGCAGGACTTCATCGAATGGTAAGATACCAAGAAAATTCTGCATCACACACTATGACAATTTGAATTCATATTTCTTGTTAGAAATAATCCATTTTAAGATCTAGAACAAATGCAATATTACTTGAAATTATTTTAAATCATTTTAATGAATAATTAACTCAAAATGACAAGATAAATGAATGAATCATTATACGTTTCTCGTCGCTCAATGCAGTCGTTGATAATATCGCACATACTATTGATCAAGTATAATTTGCTTATAAAATGCATCACCAAAGCAATATTTTTTTACTGTCCACACTTGACAAAAAATAACCATTTCTGTGGAGGATTTTAATCGGGATAAGGCGATTCTATGTCAACAAACGGGCAGCTGGCAAGCGGGACGCACCGCGCACGACTCAGGTATACTATTACCCTCAGGTACAATTTAATATTGTGTTCCCTGCTGTTGAATTTCCAACAAAAATACGCTATTTATATACATGGTTTTATCGAGTTCTGTGAGGATATGGGACCACTATGCTATTTTCATTTAAAATTGGATTCGGTTTTGATTATAGTTGAATAACAAAATAGAGAAATTTATTTAAAATCGCAATACTCGAATTTGAAGTTTAGTGGAGCTAAAAGAATTTTTAAAGATAGAAGAAAAAGAATTTCGTTTGTAAACTCTTATCTGTTGAAATACAAAAAAACTTTTAAAAGAAAGCTTTAATGAAATAATATGTAAACGATGTTCATTTTTGTATCTATTTTCAAACGCTACTTTGGCGAGTATGCGCTTGATATTTCAGAACGTTTCTAAGTGGGACTGAGTTACTTGATACTATCTATGAATTAATTTAAAACCTGATTAGGTTGAAATTTTTATTATTGTATTATGCCAATGGATGATATTATACTACTCAGACACAATATTAGTAAAACCATAAAAAGTTGGACAATAGTAACAACGAACGTTATAATTTCCTGTGTGTTATTACGTGATCGTTGAAGCGTGGTGTTCACTAAGGTGTGTTTTCGTATAAATCTCATAACCCACAACGGAAAACCAGACGTCGAGGATTTCGCCAACAACCATAAATGGACTCCATTGTTATGCATTCTTTCCCCAATCAGTGTTCCCGTTGAAACAAAAAAAGACCACACTTAATAATATTTTAATATTTCAAATTTTCATACCATTTATTTATAGGATACAGACTGATTCCAAAGTCATTGAACTATACCAAATTTTTGGAAGAAGGTTTTAGTCCAACGAACAACATTATGACTTTTCACTCTTGTACACCAATCGTCAATAGGACATTCAAAATATTATGTTTGGTGTTGTTCGATGGAATATTTAACACAAATGAGTTTTTTAAGTTTAAATTCTGGTCTAAAATGTATTCAAATAGTATTGTCTTATATACTTTGCAAAATACACGGGTTATGGCAAATTTAACAGTAGCAAAAAAAAATATTTATTTATGGTTTGGTCCAATACAGTTCAAATTCCATACGCAATATCATCAAATTCTAAACCATTAAATTCGGAGAGTGTTTTTGAATATGCACAAACAATTATATGGCGTAACCTTACCCATTGTTGGCAAAGTAGTGAAGATATATATTTGACTGAAAAAAAAATCCAGCACAAGATGATTCATTGTTGATGAGGTGATACAATGTGAACACTGATATTTTACGTCTTCTAAACTTAAAAATCATCAGTCACAATTGAAAAGATTTTACAAACTTATTATCTCACCTATGTGCGAAAGTAAGAAAGCCATCAATTACCTTCAACCCCCGTTTTCAATTTGAACATAACACATAAATTTAAAGTAATAATAATGTTGAATAATGGGTTTTGTATGGGGTTCTGAATTTTTTTCATTTTTCTATTATCCTCGATTTATATCTTAGACTGTGGTAACTTAAGACATGGTCTGTAAATTAACCTTCATTATGAAAACTGTTTTATTAAAATGTTACTTTCAAATTTGAGAATTTTTCAAGCAGAAAATCGAACCATCAGCTACAAATAAGCGTGTTAGCAATATGAATACTTGCAAAACTTAACTCGCAAAACTTAGCAAGAGCCGGTTGAGGCGAGCGAAAGTGTAGAATATAAATTCCTAACAAACGAAATAAAATAGGGCATTCGCTTGCCAATAAAAACGTACAGCGTACGACGAAAAACATTGAAAGATCATGTGATTGGGTAAAAAGATGGGTACAGGTGTTGATATCTGAAGGCATGAAAACACTCGAGAGTTTCCGTCAGTTCACTATAAATGGCATATTTAAATACGATCTGTGGTTTTTACGACAAGTATATTTTCCACAGGTGTGGGGATTTTCTGCGCATGCCAACCAGTGAAATTTACAGGCAGATCACAGCCTTATGATATATCAGAATTCTTGAAAACAATGACGTGGACAAAGACATGAATCACAGTTACTGGTCACATAATATCCCACTATTGTCCACATATTCCTGTAGCGCAAAAAAATACAGGTTTAGAGATTATTGTAACAATGCCGATTGAACTAAAGGTGTAATGATGAAGGATAAGGATAAACCCGTATTAATCCTTCTTTGTGAAATTCTATAAATGATTTTTTTTTGACAAATAGAAAGAAAGTATTGGTATAATAGACAAAGAATTATTAACAAGTTTTTAATATTAAAAAATTAAATGTTTGTTATATTATTCGATTATTTCAATATTAAACAATATATGTATCTGTAAAATTAAAATAAATAAAATTAAAATGAATTTTGTTCTAATGATATTGCAAACTTATTTTTGGAAGATGATGTATATTAAAAACTACTTTTCGAAAAAACTATAGAAAATAAAATCACTAATCGTGTACGGGCGCATAATCAACGATTCAAGTTTGCCACAATCTTCTCTACTAGACATCGAGGATGTCGGGCGGGGTTTCACAACACCGACGGTTGGTTACACCCGACCTGTAACCTGACCCCTTTTTAGCCA